GATCACTCTATTTTGTGCCTTTTTTTGTCTATCAATGACAATAATCAGCCCGCTGATGTCATGCCTAAACGGCCCTTAATCGGAAGTCGGAAGCCGTCCTTACGGCGGGTTATCGGAGCGACGAAAGGGCAAGTAGGAGGCTCGGCGGTGCGTGAAAGTCGCAGTGAAAGTGAACTGGGTGGAGATGATCCGGCGCTCATTAATGGAAAAGTTCAGCGAGAGAACCGCCCTTGTGGCGAACACTCCAGATCCGAGTTGGAGGAAGAGATGGGAACGGCCGTTGGGTTGGACGTTGAAGGAGGACAAACACTCGGGCTCCTCGTCCAGACTCCGGAGTGTGCATTGTTGCGAAACTGGGGCGATTAGAAAAACAACCGGTGGTTTAGCAAATCTGCTCCATTCATTTTAATAGAGCAGGTTGATCGACCTTGCATATTACGCACTATCTCGTGCAGCAATGACGGGGGAGAGGAGGGGAGGGGTTGGGGGAGCACGGATGCAAAAAAGCTTGGAAGTGGCTACAAGCTAGTTAAGGTATATCCATAATATTCGGGATTCTTGATTTTTGTAATTCACTGATATTTTACGATGTTTCTTGAATTTCACTGAAAAATTCCCTGATGATATAGGAATATGCTACCTTAGAGTTTCAAGTTCCTGATTTCTTTTCTTGATTCTCTTGAGAAAATCCAATCACTAGTAATTAAGACTAGATGGACTGAGTCTTTTTTCTTCTCTCAAATCCGCCTCGAAAAAAGGTTTTGTTTTGGCACTTGTGTCTTTTTACCAATTAAGTATGGCAGCCTCTTAAGAGGCCTCTTACGAACAGTCATGTGTGTATAAGTGTATAACTATGTACCTTTTTTTCCAAATAAAAACTCCATTATCGTGTCCTGGAAGAAACAGAAATTCTCTTTATTGTTTGAGAAAATATCAACTCTCTCTTTTTTCTGATTCTCAAAGGCCAAATCCACACGGTCTTACAATTTTAAAAGTAATTTGCTCTCTGCGTGGATAAAAGAGAGGTTTGCGATTTTCAATACTCATTTTCTGATAGATTGTTTCCTGCTATTTTCGGATATTTCTCATTCCCTGATTCCCCGGGATATTTCTCATTCCTTGATGTATATTGATACGAGGGGCGTTCAATAAGTAAGTATCCCCCCTCTCTAAAATCCATTAAAATGGACCAATTTTAAAAAAACTTGGGCTCGAAATCTTCCTTAGGATATTTTGAGTTCAACGAAACAAACCGCAACAAAATCGGACCATGTGCGGCCGAACGCGAGCCGTTTGAACGCGCCGAGGTGCTCGACGCTCCCGCCAAATCCGCGAGGATTTGAAGTCCGCTACAGGAGAAGAGCTTCTCTGCCAAAGCCTTAGTCGTTCATCACTGACGAAAAATCAAAGAAATTTTTGTAGAATTCGGGGCTTACCTCACTTCTCCACATAACCAGCTCGATCCAAGCAAGTCTGATACTGAGACTAAGACTAAGAGAACAGCTTTTGGATGCCTCGTGCGTGGAAGTCTTTCAGCTGACCGCGGATGAAAGAGTGGACGGCTTGTTTGACCTCTTCCACTGATTCAAAATTAACTCCTCCGAGTTCAGATTTCAGATACGATAATAAATAGCAAACCAGACCACCATTTATTCCCGTTCCTGAAATCTGAACTTGGAGGAGTTAATTTTGAATCAGTGGAAGAGGTCAAACAAGCCGTCCACTCTTTCATCCGCGGTCAGCTGAAAGACTTCCACGCACGAGGCATCCAAAAGCTGTTCTCTTAGTCTTAGTCTCAGTATCAGACTTGCTTGGATCGAGCTGGTTTTGTGGAGAAGTGAGGTAAGCCCCTTATTCTACAAAAATTTCTTTGATTATTCGTCAGTGATGAACGACTAAGGCTTTGGCAGAGAAGCTCTTCTCCTGTAGCGGACTTCAAATCCTCGCGGATTTGGCGGGAGCGTCGAGCACCTCGGCGCGTTCAAACGGCTCGCGTTCGGCCGCACATGGTCCGATTTTGTTGCGGTTTGTTTCGTTGAACTCAAAATATCCTAAGGAAGATTTCGAGCCCAAGTTTTTTTAAAATTGGTCCATTTTAATGGATTTTAGAGAGGGGGGATACTTACTTATTGAACGCCCCTCGTATGTCCCGAATTTGTGTAGGTCCTAGCTACCGTAAAACCTTCATGGAGGCAAAACTTTAATAAATGCGTTTGTCTACTGAGCCTGGAGGCGGCTACCACCACTCATACAGTTAGAACGAATCCGTCGCCATAAAAAGTGGCAACATCTTGGAAATTTGCTCATCTTCTTCGATTGTTTCCGATAATCTGGCGAGTCATGCGTCATCCAATGCAACGGTGTGATATAATTTCTCCAATGGCGGGCACGGACGTTGGCGGCTGCAAAGAGGGTGACCTGAATAGGAAGTGAGAAAGAGCCCAGATTGTAATTGTGGATAACGCCCCTGGGAGCGTGCCCTCCGCTCACAGTTCACAGTAGGCCATCCCGTCTTATTGCATTGGTTACACAAAATGTCATCATGTAAATGAAATGAATGGTATAAAAGAATTTACACGTTCAATTGTCCACAAAAAAGAGACCGTAGGCAAAACATCTTAAAATTGGATTATTGAATTCTGTGCACATTTTGGGACAAAAATGTGGAGCCAATGTCAACCATTGGTGGTCAGGGGTTTCCAGAGCCATACGCGTAGTTTCGGTAAATTCTATTTAAACTTCCTATATGCGATATGCCATTTTTAAGATAAATCTTTACGACGTAAATTGACGTAAAAATGTACAGAACAGCTCGCTGCTTATTTTTGAGGACACTAGAGAATATATTGCTTCGAAAAATCAAAATGTTGACTACATTTTAGGTACCTAAATAGTTAGGAATAATAGGAATAGTTGAGATAGTGGTAGTAGTGAACAGTAGCTAGTAGCAGTCAAGACAAAACATAAAACAATAAAATCAAAATTGCGTTATTGCACTTGACGCAAATTTTGAGGCAAATCACAGCCTAAAATTATCAAACCGATGTGAGTGTTCCCTGTTCAAAAAACGTAGTTTCGAGGAAATGCGGTTCAAAATTCCAATCTACCGTGTTTATGGGTTATCAAATTATCAAATGATAATAAATCATTCCGCCCCCGTAGTGGCACAAACAATTATAGCAATAAACCATCAAATAGATTGCTCCCTTCGACGGCTCAAGAAAAATGTAATAAAACGCCAGGGTGCCTTTCCATGAATAAGTTTCTGTGTGTGGATAATTTTATTTGTCGATGATTCAGGACCCAAAAATTTTAAAGACAGGTACCTATATCATAAATTGTGACTCATGGAGATCTAGACGAGGGAAATCCATTCTTTTACATTAGATAGTGGAATATTACCCGATTCAGGATGAAAATGAATTTTCCCCATCGAATAAGTGATTTGTATTGTGTTTTCGTTTTCTAACACGGATTTGCTTTATAATGTCATCACACTGTGCTGAGAGCACATTCATAATAATTTTGAACTTATCCTTGAGGTCTCTAAGGGTTATTCGATGATCTACATTTGTCAAACCACTATCACTTGTCACTTTAACAGTGTAATTTGAATACGAGGATTAGAAATGGGTTGCTTTTACAGTTACGCACACGAAAGAGATTATCGGATAAGTGACTCACATCTGTTAGGAATTATATTTGAATAGTCCGAGTTCAGCTTAGGTATTTCCCGTGCTGCTCATTAGTATGATATAAATTCTAATGACTGCAAATATTTTATTGGAATAATTTGCAAATTTTTATGCTCGACTTATCACCCGCAGCCGCAAGCCCCTCCACTTTATTGTCTTCCTTATATTTGCACTATATGAATCACTGTGAGTGCCACTAGCTACTTTAATTTATATAAATTTATTGAATTTTTTGAATTGATATTGAATTTCTAGTGAAATATTTTTCGGACACATTCCATTGAGTTTTTGGAAAAAATAGTCTCCAAACGAGGAGATTAAGTCCAGCGGTACATGATACATAAAATAATTTCACTCGAAGAAGTCCGGATTTACAATATCTGAGCGAAAAAAGGAAAGAGCGAAGGGAAATGAAAAGCATGCATGACATTATTGCGTATCGAAGAAAAAACGCCTTATGAGTATTTAGAGGTTTCCAAATTTTCCCAGAAAAAATATTTATTTTTGCGAAAAGTTATGAATGATTTCCTATAAAATGTTCAGATTCACTAAATTAAATCGTGAATGAAATTCAGTTAAAAATTGGGACAGGGAAAATTTTACTTAATTTTTAAAGCAAATTTTAATCCTAGAAATTTTGTAACATCTGGGTGTTCATGTACGGCGTATCTCTTTATTAGCACGAAACTAGCTCACTTCTTCACATATGAATTGCCTGCAATGTAGCGTGCATGCAAACGCAGAGAAAGGATACTTATTGTATGTTTGTATTTTGAAGGCGCTTATGACTGAAACTACTTTCGTCGATGCGAATTGCGATGTGATACCAAATGATGATTTCTCTGTAGTTCAACGGTTGAAACACGCTTACCTAGATTGCGGTTATTCAGTACAACCGCCCTTATACACATTTTATTCATACGAAATACTTGTGTATACCCCGCGGCCCAACTTTCCTCTCAGTGATTTTTCACTGTTACTCTCAAAGGACTAAATATTAATGCTGAATTTGTATCATAATCAAAAATGCAAAATCCACTTCTAACACGAACTCCTTTTTTTATCATTCAATGTCTCGAATCATCCCAATTAACATCGGATTCACCGGATCAATATCATATCCTTTATCCAGGATTGTTCCTATTTATTTATCTCTATATTTATCTGAATCACATTTGGTCAGAGGGAGCTCCATGCAGTATTTTCAAAGAAAATCAAATGAGGAAAAAATTGAAAACATTCCAGGGAATGAAATTCGCCTCGTGTTTTTGTTGTAGTAAGGATGGTATTAGGTAAAATCATTAATTCGTTCATTTTTACATCAGATTTTACTTATGATTAGAATGCTCCGTCTTAAAAGTCATATTCATTACATAGAATTAGGTATAAATAGGAAGAAACTAAATATATGTACATGAAAAGTTCAAGAAGATGAAAAAATGAGTAGGTGTCAATTCAGTGACATTGTTAAAAATGATCACTAAATAATGTTTCTCTCAACAGATTTTGAAGGTAAATCTATGGCAGAGGAGCTTCCCTTGGTTCAATGAGCACCTCGTTTACTGCCACGTGAGCTGGCCGTGTCAATGCGAACACACAAGCTTCTGCTACGTCTTTTGGGTCTAAAATCTCCATTTTGTCACTGAAGTCAAACTTTTCCATAGCCTGAAAAACCAAAATATTCATACTTTAACTAAAATGTTTCGATTCATCCGCGTTTGATGTTATCATTAAACAATATAAGGTAGAATTGAAATAAGATAGGATCGATGGTGACTAAAGTCAAAAAGTGTGTGCTACTTCAATTGAAGTAATTTAAAATCTCCAATTGTTCGATTTCCCTTAAAATTCAGACTACTCAAATAACTTCTTCAATTTTCTGTAAATATTTTTAATGAAAGAAAAAAATTTTCCGACAACCTCTGAGACAGAACCTTCAATTAGAGGACTTGAGATGAAAAGGAGAAGCCCTCGGCGCGGCGATCGGCATGTAACACTAATTAGCGCCTACAAGACTGCACGAATACTTCACGCATTGCATTAATCACAGTGCGGTCATTGCGGACAGCGTGAAACAGATAGCGCCTACAAGAATGCATGAATACCTCACACATTGTGGCAAACACAGTGCGATTATCGTAAAACGTATAGCGCCTACAAGATTGCGTGAATACTTCACGCATTGCGTCAAACATGTGCGTTCAGCAGCGGTCTGCGCGGCACGGCGGCGGAAATTAAAATCATTAATCCACATTTATGTTTGTCCTTTCATAATTTTTTCGTTCATTTCTTATGAATGGAAGGCCTTGTCCACACAGAGATAGGTTTGCGAAACTTTACTTTCGCGCAAAGTTCCGTGAACTTTTGCTGGTAGTGTTGACAGGGCTTTCCCAAAAAATGTGTTCAACACGAGTGCCTAAACGCGTCTTATGCAATATGCACTCCTCCCCCGCTGGCACGTTCATTTGATGGGATTTATTGATGTTTCAAAACGAATGAGAAAGGGGCGGCAAAATACAGGCGGCCCATGGATGGCAAGTAGGTAAATCCGGCCCTGGAACACAAACCAACTCAAAATTGGTACAGTTTCCATTGAATTTAGCACAGAAAAAGATGGAATTCCCAGAAGAGCCCAGAAGCAACTAAGGACTTAGATCTTTTCATGTTCCAACTTCCTAGCTAATCGTAATTATTTCCTGCAATTTTTTGCTCAGTGTTTCTTTCAATAAAATAGAACAGCATAGCTACGTTTGGCAATCAGGAAATACAATTTCTGGCTCAGTTTAGAAACGACGTATGTACCATAAGCTTCCCTAAGCATTTAAGTGTTTCTACAGATGAACCAGCTATTGTAGTTCCGAATTGGAAAATGTAGTCCATTTTTATGCCGTGTTACAAAAAAGAGCAGTTTGTGCATCCTAGGATGAGCCTCGAAACACATTAGAGCGTTCGCCATCCGTGGCTCACACAGTTTTCTCTTCCGTAACACAGTAGAATTAAAGGATCAGTGCTTACCTGTGAGTCTGTTGTTAGTCTTCGGAGTTCGCTGTGAACATCTCCTGGCTGAATGCAAGTCACTTTTATGCCGTCATTACATATTTCTGCACGCATTGCTCCAGACAAAGCCTCTACGAAGTGTTTCGTTGCCGAATACACCGCTAAACCCGCAAATGGCTGTATAATAACAAGAAATGCTAAAATTACTCAAAGTAATGTTGAGTTCAACGATTAAAATTTGAGCGTGTAAACGAATAATGTGTAATTATATAATCATTGTAATCGACCGATACTTTAACTAAAAAATATGGACATTTGTGAATGTCAGTGTGTTGTTTGGTTTTGTTTATTTTTATTTTTTTTTCACGTGTAAACGGTCATAAATACTACGTACTACTAAACTACTAAAACTACTATTTGAAATAATGAATCGTCGAATAAAAGACATACCCTTCTGCCTGCATCTGATGTAATGTTAATTATGTGCCCTGCTTTTCGTTCTGCCATTTTGGGTAAAACCGCGGCGAGACAGTTCAAAACGCCACCGCAGTTCACTTGCAACGTGTGTTGCCACTCGGCCAAATCGCCTTTCTTCATGAAGTTGTAATACATCACTCCAGCATTGTTGATCAACCCGTAAATGGGTCCAATTGTGCTCTCTATTTCATCCACTGTTTTTGCTACCTGTAAGAAACAATATTATGTTTGAACCTAAGCTGTAAATTTTGAAACGTATAACTGAACAAAGTTTGGCAGGAACTAACAAGTAGTTTTAAAAGAAAGGATGAAATATCAAACAATTTTCTCTTCCATAAGACTTATAATAAAATATGAACAGTACACATCCATGTATCTGACACTAAATCTTGTAAGTGGGCTGCAATACCCAAGAAGAAGAGAATTAGCCACAAAATCACATAGATGAATGGATACGATTGAAAATTGATTTACGCCTATCAGTAAATTCAAAATCATTCATTTCTTTTTTAAAAGCACCAATTTCCCATATCCTCACTTTTAAAACCAGCTCTTCATAGACTTTCATCTTGTTAAAAGATGTCCCTTTAACAATCTACGGTTTCCCTCCCTCTTTGCGTTAGCTACCCCTAGAAAAAAACCTATGTGCTATAAGTTTTCCTATCCAGGAAGGTGTTTCAATGAATAAACTAGTAGTAGTTTTTATTTATTGCAAAATGAAATCTAATTGCAAGGGTGAAAAAGGAGGTTTTAGGGAAGAGAGCGATAGAAATTTTCGAGGCCATAAACTTGAATATTTCTTGTAGTTGATACCTGTTTATCGTTGCATACGTCCATACTCATCGTGTGAACAGTAATTCCTTTGGCTTTCAATTGCTCTCTGAGAATATTTAGTCTATCTAGTCGCCTGGCCGTGATCACAACTTTAGCTCCAACTTGAGCCAGATACTCTCCAATGCCTGCTCCGATTCCGGAGGAGGCTCCTGTCACGAGGATAACTTTGTTTTGCAAAACTTGCTTCTCTGCAAAACATTAAAAAAGAAGATAGTTCATTAAAGCTTGTCTAACCAGCGACAGTGTATTATAAAGACCGCGCAGCCTCAATTTATGCAATATAACCTTCCGTACGTGCGGGCTTTAGTGCACTATAAATTTATTACCATAATTCTAACCCTGGTAAAAATTGGCGAATAGAGCTGCGTTTCAAAATACCATAGGAATTCTTATATCCGGCTAAAGAAGGCTACAGAAAATCATATAGCTGGCTGTAGAATGCGGAGAAAATCACACGGCCGGGCTATACGAAGCGATAAAAAATTATGCAGCCGGCTATAGTTCCTATCGCCGGGCTTTACACTTTATCGCCTGGTTGTTGCTTTTTTGCCATCGATTATAAAAGACTATAAAAAATTGTGTAGAAATTCGTGTGCTTTGGAAATCATTAAGTTTGATACGGAACCACCTTAATACTTACAAAACACACATTATATTTTCCTTTAATACATATTTTTTTTCATCAATTAAAATGAGAATAATCCATACAGGATGTGCAAACATTTCAAAATCATGTGTTGAATAACGCTGACTCCGCCTAACACAAAGCGGAGCGGCGACGCACTGGCGCCTACAAACCTAACAGGGATACTTCGCGCATTGCGCAACGCGTGAAGTATCCCTGTTAGGTTTGTAGGCGCCAATGCGTGTTTCGAGCTGGCTGCCCGCCTGCCACGGCGCTTGAAGCAACTATTTCACACCAGAGGTATTGCACAGTATCATACGAAACTGAAGGCGCTCTAATATATCAGTAATGGCAGGCATCCATCAGAAGTACGGAGCTTTCCTAGCAAAATAAATCAAGATACTACGACCCAAAAAGAGAGCAGTACTCCAAAAACTCACTAAGTCCTAGCATCCGTAATTAGTAACGTTTAGCATACACTTTATCGCCCGGCTGTTGCTTAATCGCCATCGGCTATAAAAGGCTATATAAGAAATTGTGTAGCCTGCTATAGAAGCTATTGGAAATCTTACAGCCGGCTGTAGGTCTATGGTATTTTGGAACACAGATTTCACTGCCAATTTTTACCAGGGAAGTTTCACCCAAAAATTCATTTCCATATACATTTACGCGTAAATGTTTCAATTCGAAATTTTGAAGAAATTTTCGTCAAATCACAAGGGAAATGTTCAACATTTAGACGTGAATTTGCAACAGTTATAGAGTAAATAAATTCATTGTCAAAAGTTTTTGCAAAGGTTCAAGTATCTCGGAATCTAAACTGGAAAGACGATCATCGAAAAGGCTGCCACCTCTGACGTGCTCTACAGGGTGTCCTAAAAGGCCCTTCCACCCCCTCTAAAATTTTACCTAATTAATATTTTGATTCGCAAAAACCTTTTCTGACTTAAAATTTGATGAGCTAACATGCACTTTCCTACTTTGATCCACTTGTCTAGTGGTGAATATTCATGTCGGATACACTGTGCGACAAAGTTCACGACTCTGTTGACAGCCACTTGTTTTTAGTAATAACCCCCTCAATTTTCGTAAGAGAAAGTCACAGTAAAGTTGAGAAGCTTTACTTTAGAGAAAGACGAGTCAAAAAGCACTTTAAGCCACGAGTTAAACATGTAAAGTTAGGTAGATTTGAAATCTCATTCATAGGACAAGTCCTACAAGGCAATAAAGCTGAATATTGTTGGCGAAAGTGCAAAAACGCGTACCTCGGTTTACGACGGTGCAGACTTCTTACTATAATTTTTTTTGGAAACACAATAATAATCGTCATTTCTTGAAAATTTACCTTGTATTTTTTTCTAAGTGAAGAATATTCTGAGAAAACAAGCAATAGTATTGGTTCATTCTCCCTAGATAAAATAAAATGGGAACAGCGATTCCGAAACACCAAGAAACAAGGTACGCGCTTCTGCAATTTCAGGAACGTTGAAGTTTTGAAAAGTGAGTTGTTTATTTTACCACCACCACAATCACCTGTGTTTGCCATCGTGCTGACTGCGTGTGTCAAAGTTAAAGAGATACTGCTAGCAATGTGAATCCTTTGCAACGTGTGAGCTTAATAATCGTGCCTTGAATGAACGATCTGAATGTTTATCAGTTGATTCACAGAAGGTCAAGACAACGTAACGATAAAAGAAAATCTCGAACCGGCCATTCAATTAAGCATTGTAAGCGGATGAAGAGAAACGTCAGTGTCAGGAAGCAATACATTTTCAAAATCGTATGTTGTTTGACGTAACAATCGTGAGTGTTTCGCGATAGTGCGAAATACTCCTATTTTGTTTGAGTGTTAATAGGTGGGGCTTATTCAATAGAAAAAATTTTCTGCACCACTTTGAAACGTTTTCGTAATATTTTGTTTCATGTCCATTCGTAAAAATGGACTGCTAGATAAGGTGTGGAGTGGAATTTGGGGTCCTAGAACATGACGCTTTATCGACATTCCTCGTAGAATACAGTCGACACATAAAAAATGTCTGAATTCAACTCAAAATAAGAAAACAGCGTTTTCGCACACGTTGAGTCAGAGTTCCCGCTCACAAAATTGAAAGTACACTCCTGTCAAATCGAGCACTAAAGTGTACGTTCACCAACTTCTGTATGTTAGGTATGTAATGGAATAATTTTTTCTGTATGCTGGATTTTTCTCGAGATGTTTAAAAAAAATTTGCAAACTAAGGAGGGAAAACATGTTCTTAAATCAGACCATGACACTGATCACTTATTTGCCAAATGGATAATACTGTATTCAACGGCCGATTTGATATAGGATGTGACTTTGGTTCTTCCGCAAGCGGGAGGCTTGAACTCACTGAACGAAAAACTATTATAGTGTAAAAAAAACGTTAATTTTTCAACTGTGAGTAAATTTTGAAAGTTTTCATATCGTTTAATGTGTTTTGCGACTAATTTTGATGAGGGTGCATGACTTGAGGAAATTTTCAATTCCATCCTTTCACCTTGTTTTTCTGGACAGCCTCATTGGTTGCTCTTAAATTGGAAAAAAATAATTCGAGAAACAATTTTTTCAAGATATTTCCACTGTTACATTTATTGCAGATTACGTATTCCGCGATAGTCAGAACATGCTCCAGCAGGTTCTAGAAAACGTAGCCATACATTTTAAAGATGAAAAAAATCTTCAGCATAAAAAACTGGAACTCGATAAATACTGATAACATGGAACAGTTTGCCTGATTTGGAGGCAAATATAGTCAGGAATTCTTACCTGCTGGCACTTCAGAAGGAGGGACAATCTTTCTTTTTGGGAGCAAACCTATACTTTCTAGGTTTGTCAGGTAAATTGCCAGTAGCTCATCATTTATCTGTGGATACTTTAAGTTTAGCTCATCCAAGAAATTATTCGTGTTTGACCTATCGAATAAACTCTGATCCTTCAAACTTTTGCCGTCTCTAAAGTGAGAAAAAGAATACAAATTATAATATCAGATAAAATTTAAAAAAATCATTTATTATTGTTTGAATATTTTTGGTTGTGAAAAGCACTGAACACTTTTTTTCACGCAGTGAGCATCTCTGATATGACCGCCAGATCCAAGGAAGTCAAGTGTAATGCATGGATGCAACTATTCCTGCTTTACGGTTGTCCTTGTTGCAATTTAAAAAAAATGAAGGCGCAGGAATGTGAGACGAGAGTTGGGCGCTTTTTGAAAGAAAATATTCCACCGGGTAGATTCGTTATTTAACGATCATAATTTGAAGAATTTTGTAAAAGTAAGGCCTTGGATGATCAAGTAAACAACAAACGACTGTGAATTTAAACTTTTTTTAGAACCTTTCTTACATTTAAGATTAATCGACAAGGAGCAAGAAAGTACTCACTTTAACGCTGATTCCAGTAAGTAGCACAACGGTTTCAAACTGGGACATGCAAGTGCTTGCCTCTTCACTCTGAGAGACCAATCCGAAAAAGTTGTAGTTTTGATTGAATATCCAAAGTCACTTAAAAGAGCCCATAAGTTCCTGTGAAAACGTTTGTATTTCATAAAACTGCATCAATTGTAAAGTAAATGTAGACTGGATCAACCAATCGATAGAAATCTACATTAAAGTAGTCGAGGATCAGAGCCACCCAGTGGGTAAGTTCGGTCAAAAAATATAAAAACTAGACGAAAAATTTACATTTTCTTAAACTGATATGCAGGGTGGTAACATGTTATGTTTCAAAGCCGGAAGCTTCACGTGAAGTATATTTTCAAAAATTCCAGAAATTGATGAGATTTATGCTTTAAATTACAATTAGCTTCACTCGAATGGCAATTGAAATTTCATTCGATGGCATTGGGAAATATTATTTAATTTATACTTAATTACTCAGGTTTCTTTTGAAAGAAATAAAAAAGGGAACATTGAGAATTAAATGCTAAAGACTATGGTTTTTTGTGCATTGTTTGGAGGTTCTGGGCTTAAGTTGCATATACCTTCTTCCTGATACAATGTGCAACATTTTCGATTCGACAACCCCATGAAACTTTATGAATTGATTCACTGTAATATATAATCTTACATATTATGTTTCATGCTACCATGCTAGGTATTATGGACGACGACTAAGTTTAAGATTTTAAGTTCCACAAGCCGAAAAAATGAGAGTCTGAGGGATTCTTTTAAAAATGAAAATTTCTCCGTTGGCACTGAACAGAAACGTAATTGAATATCTACTTTTATCATATCAAATTGAAATATTTCGTACCTAGAATGATAAGAATGGTCATTTACCAAATGAAAAATTTCACCGTTTGTCCTCTCTAAGTTAGTTAAGGATGACACAATAAATTTAGAGACAAACTCAACAGGCGTCAACTCTATCTGAAAATTAAAATTAGAAAAAACATAATGATAACATAAAATTTAAACTTCTATGAAATTAATTTATTAATGAGCAGCATAGGTATTTGCTGAAATAGAAAAGAAGTGTGTCGGAAGGCGAAATCTGGAATTGCTCAATACAACAAAAAGACTGATTTTAAGTGAAACACGTTCAATTTTAGTTTGCCCAAACGCTTTCTAACGCACACCAGATCAGTGGGCCAAAAATGCAATTGATTTCTTCCATTACAAAGTCACAGGTGTTTGTAAGGAATCGTCCCTAAAGTTGGCAACAATGTCGGGAAAATTCAACTGTATTTTCCTCATATTTGCGACTTACCGTTCTCTGACTTTGCAATGCTCTCAAAAGAGTCATACCTACATGCACTTCTTATAGAAATTTTATTTTATTTCATTTATCTTAAAGTGAAATCACCCATAATTTTTTAAAATAACTAACGACATCTTACCGGCCAAGAGGCGTCTGGTGCATACCCAGTGCTGAGAACTCCTTGCAAGATCAACAGTGTGAGATCCTGCTTATTCCAAGCAGGCCAGTCACGCGGACCTGCAATATTGCCGCATCTATGATCACACAAATTAATTTTCCAAATAACTAAAAATGCATCGTTATCTTTTGAATTGTGGTTATTCGCGAATGATTTTTTACATAACAAACTTACCCTAGAACTCGGGCATCTTTTGATGGTCGAGATTATTTCAGATAATAACAGTGAAAGTAGTTAAGCATGAAGAAGTGTAAATTCATTCAAAATCATTCCTCTATCAACTCTAATCTTCAGAGAGGCGGATATCTGCATAGCTTAGATTTTAATTGGGAGAGGTTTAAAACGGCCTATAACTCAGCGCAATAAAAATATTTGTTTCTCGAAATCCTTGTGGATTTTGACTGTAATCCTACGAGTAGGTGGGCCTGCTTGAAAGAAGATTTTAGAGATGGATTATTATTTGTCAACGAAACAAAGTGAGGTTTTTTTGAACGTTAGGTTGTGTGGCGGGCTAGCTGCGGATTGTATCAAGCTTTTCAAAATCTGACAAATACTTTGATCATTCAGGCTGATACATTTCTACAAATCCCAATTTAAATACTTCCTCCAGGTATTAAAGAACAAAGATGAATAGGACTGCATTATTTTATTTATTTTTAAGACTTTACAATCAGGACACAAAACCATGCAAAAAATAGACTAATTTTTACCTGTAGATGACGCAGGGTGCTCCGAGATGATTGGCAGAAGTGACAGATTTCTCTGCGACCCATTTACTTTGCGAATATCCACTCTCAAGAGCGTCGGCAAATTCGGACATATCGCTATCCTCATTACACTTACTTAAATTGGACGGAAACACATCACTAGTGCTAAATAAAAAGGACAAAAAATTATTATAAAATGTTGGTACGAAGGTTATCGACGGTGAAACTACCAAACCACGTATCTCGTTTGCGGTGTTTAAAAATCTACGCTCACATTTTATTTTTTGGAAGTAGACCAAATCAATATCATTCCTTGAAATTTTCACAGAATTTTCTCCGCGCGAAGAGGAAAAATCACAGAAATTTTCAAGGCTGGACGTTAAATAGTTTTTCATTTAAAAAATAAAGTATGACAGGAAGTCTGCGACGTCGCAAACCGAGATACGTGGTTTGGTAGTTTCACCGTCGTTATGCTAAAAATTTAAACAACATTGAGATCCGTCCGATAATATCAACCAGGAATTCAAGATTTGATACCTCCTAGAGAGGATGTGTTTGAGAACATCGTTCATTTAAATTTTGCAAACAAAATATTCTCTGACCACAATAATACGTGAATGATGTTTCACAAAAGAAATTGAGTAAGGTGATATCGAAGTAAACATAGCATGATATTACGAATCTTCAGCCATAGTCTACGACACGAAAGCCGGGTGGGGGGGGGGAGGAATTGTGAAGTGACTGGCTTTAGGCATTATTTTAGGGTTGAAACGTGGGTGTGTGGACACGTTCAAAGAAATTTGGCTAGCCGAAGCCAATCAATCTATAATAGTGCATGGAGTCCATAAAGATACCGCATACTTTTTTATTGGAGAGATTGCCACTTTCAGGACTAATGTCTGCAAGGATTGTGAAAATGATGGAAGAAGTACAGCGTACAGGATACAAATCGACGTGCTCCTAGTCAAGAAATGGCCTTCCTATGCACAGTAAAGCGTAGTAAAACTTATAAACGTTGAAAGGAGGCGTCAAAATCTAATAAAAATATGTAGGGTCGGATTGTTCCCCACGTGCTATAAATTGTAGATCGAGGCGCTAGCCTGGTTGCGCCCCCCCCCTTCCCAGCTTCAGCCGCCACTTTTCGTTTATTATTTATCGCCCTTCTAACATTTCCGCAATCAACTTGATCTGAACGGAAAAATAAAGAGTGTTGTTTTGTTTATAGGGTTGCAGTAAAACTATGTGCACCTATATAACCACCATTACTGAATTTTAGACACAATACAAACCTGATGTAATGAAGCGGTTTAATTTTACTGTGTGTGCAGAAAGATATCACATTTCGGGTTCCAACGACGTTGGATCTGTACAATGCATGGTAGGGAAATGCTAAGTTAACAGTCGCAGCAGCGTGAATGACAACATCGATGTCATAACAGAGAGCATGATAATCGTCTTCCATGAGTCCAAAATTTTCTAAAGTAACATCCCCTGGAAGACATTGAAAAAAAAATGAGCAATATTTTATTCATTCAATCGGATTTTTTCAAGGTTTGTGTAGCTTTTTATGTGGCAGTAGAACTTTAAAATCAGTGGCCTAAATAAATTCTACGAAAAAGTATTTAGAAAGTCAACAAAGTGGTGCTAGGTCATTTTTCCTACATTTTTTTTCCTACATCAGGTTTTCCTAATACAGTAAAAGCTCGTTAAGACGCAATACGGTTAAGACGAAAATCCGCTTAAGACGAAATTTTTTTCGGTCCTTCGACACTTTCATAAGAGTCAATGTAAAAAGAAAATACGGATAAGACGAAATTTCGAAATTTTGACCCGTAACCAAAGCCGGTTAAGACGAAGAAAAATTTCCGATTTTTCCCCCTAAAATTTGGTAAAAACGAGAAAAAAGAGCCAATTCTTAGGGAAAATAGACTTAGTTTTACGTATCTTGACATAAAAAGAGTAAGTTGAGAGTAGATCGGGGGAATCCTCTGTTTTGCTGGATGACTGAGATGCAATCGTCAGTTGACGATAAACCGATTTGCGTATTTTAAAAAAATTCAAAATTTGGATTTCGTATTGTATAAAATTTAAAAATTTAAAACTGATAGATAGTAATCTTTCAAAAAGTCATTCACTTAAAATAATCTTTAATTTTAGTTCGTGTGGATTTTGAAAGCTGTCCGGATATTAAAACTGCTTCCAAATTTTGGAGGCTGAATGTCCTAAGTTTGTTGCGCAGTTGCCGCTTATGCCGAAAAATTTCGTCTTAAGCGGAGAACGGTTAAGACGAAAAGCCGCTTATGACGAAATTAATTTCGGTCCCATCATTTTTCGTCTTAACGAGCTTTTACTGTACTTTTTTCCTACTCGTTTTTTGTCCCATTGCAGTAAGTCCTACGAGTGAGATGTCCCACTGGCTTTTTTTCTAAGGGTGTTTGTCCTAATAATCTAATAATTGTAAAAATGAGTAGAGTGGAAGGAAATGTTTCGGGAAGTGTAAAGTTTTCTCAGCGAGCCGAATATAAGCGCGTGAAGAGGAGACAGCACAATCTGAGCATTCTATACCCTCAATATACGGAAGAGGATGAAGATCCACTACTTGTGGGCATGCGGCCACAACTTTAACTTGTGAGGTACCTTTTTTGTTTTTTTACTTTGTCGCTCCCCTAGTTTTAAAATTGAATTTAGGACAGATGCCCCTAGGAAAAAAAGCCAGTAGGAAATCTCACTTGTAGGACTAACTGTGATGGGACAAAAAACGAGTGGGGAAAACATTATTAGGAAACCTTGCAGTAGGAAAAAATGTTTTAGGAAAAATGACATGCCACCCAACAAAGTAGCCACTGTTTCAGCGAAAACTCTATTCAGTAGGTAAATATGTAAATTACTATTGATCTAGGTATTGGGCAGATAGGTAAAAATAAAATTAATTCTCGATTGTTCGACGTTTATTATCTATGGAGTACATAGGCGGTTCTTGGCCTTCATGCTTTGGGGTGCCCAGAGGTGGAAAATGTCGGAGACTGGCCCCGAAGGAGACGGTCGCTAAGGGGAGGCCTAAGTTTCGGCCCTCAAGTTTTATCCCTTTCCTACCCTTCTTTCTCTTCCTCTCTCCTTCCTATCTACTTAAATATCTATAAATTCAATGTAGACAATTTTTAGCAAAACTTTCCATCAAAAGTACAATCTTACCATAAAAAAACAGTCGAATCTATGTAAAACACGGCTATCAATATTAATTCTATTTAAATCATTTTTAATTAATTGCTGGGATTTTTTCTCAGTGTGAGCGAATTCAGAATCTTTAAAAGCAGTAATTTCACGGTTCCGATTACCGTACTTAATTTTTGCTTGGGGGTGCTCGGCACCCACTGGCAACCCCGTAGAACCGCCTACGGTAGCGGCACAGGAAAACCGAAAAACCGAGCAGGGACGATACTTCAATATTAAGCTTCCATCGCCTTGCTAAGGCGCGGGAATACAACTATTTGAACTCTCCGGAACGTGTGAGGTATCACGCCTCAATTGAAGGCGTTTTCGAATCTTCTGTATTCACATGACGAGATTTGCCAAATTGTTTTGCATTAAATTGTTGATTTGAGTTCCTTTTATTATTTTGTTAAATTACTCCTGCTTCTTAATTTTTAATTATTCTGCAAAAATTATCCATTTGCCAAATATAATCCTTGCCTTAGCGCGTTTAAACTACAGTCTTAACGGTCGAAACTTCAGTAGCGGTAGCGGCGGAGTATTCACACACGCTAAAATTTAAATCAGGAACTCTTGACTTTCACCCCTCCCTCCCCCCCCCCCCCAAAAAAAAGGAAGGAAGGAAAAACATTAAAAAAGTGTTGACAAATATTTGGCCGTATGGCGATGATGAATAAGCGAATGTTATTCAAACCTTTGATCGCAGACAATCTTGTGCAGAATGGACTATCTTCATCCCCAAAATTCAAATTGTACCTTCTAAACGTATTTTTCAGTCGGTCTAGAGGTGTCTCACTCGGCGACTCTCTAACCAGACAATAGATATACGTCTGAAACATATATATAAATTTACACATCAGCATTGCAAGAGTTGAACGTTGGGGTGTCAAATGAGTGGGAGAGGGGGAAGGGTTAAAATGAAATGTTGACAACTATTTGACGGATTTTGAAAACGAAATTTCGAATCCATTCTTTTCTCTCTTGTAGGCATACACTTTTAAAAATCAAACCAGACTACAACAAACAATTTTTGTAGGCAATACTCAAGAGTTCGAGTGGTATTCGGAATGATTAAAAATAGATTTTGGTCAAAATTAATTTTTAAGAAAAGAATGAACCAATAACGACGGCTGAAGTTAAAAATTCGCATCTCCGAATACGGTATTGTGAATTTTCGGGAATTTCAAACGTTTCGAATAAGATACTCATGTTTTTACTTTAGTAACCTCTAGGTATATTTTTTATTTTTTCCCTCCAAAATTGTGTGACTTAACAATGCTTTTTCCATACCTTCATAAACAAAACCACCACATCATAGTGAGTTATGCGCAACTAAAATTTTGAAAATTACTTACACCTTGAAGAATAATCTATTGATTTTTTATACTCCTCAAAATACAAAGTGTCTATGGTGAAAAAAGTGTATGTAATTTCGCTGGTATTCTATGTCAGTTCGTGAAAGTCTTAAGAATATGTTTTTGAAATTTTTTTTCAGATTCAATCTCAATTCATCTGAAAATATGTGTGATTTTTGTGTATGAAATGTGAACAGTTAGGGACAAAATTGATGTGATACTAAAACTTACTTTTGTAGATTTTAAAAGCTGGTCGACTAAGAATGCTCCTAGGAAGCCGGTAGCTCCGGTGACAAGGACTTTACAAGAATTATATTTCGATTTAATAAAACTGTTAGATTTTCTAAACACACGAAGTTTGAAGTCTAAGCTGCAACATAACCGGAAATAACATATCCATTTAGTACATTTTATTGAATTGCCTCTCAATAAAAGAGGCGACGAAAATGTATACTCACACAGAGGGTTATTGGTTATTGATAATTGGATTACATTTTGCAATAAGGAACCACTATTTCCGGCCCATTTTAGAAACAACATACATGTCATTGGTTTCCCTATGCAGATATGTGATTTTATGGGAGAGCCAAAGATAGTGGTTCCTTATTGCAAAATGTAAACCAATTATCACTCGCAGAAAAATGACGAGTGCTCCATTTCATTTATGTACCAAGGGAAGACTTAAAAAAGATAAATTGAACGTATTTCTACCAAACAGACCTATGTGTAAGTGAGAAATATGGGGTGTGCTCGTTAGTTCTCTTTGCGTAAGAGTGAATGAGAATAATAAAGCGCCAGTGACGTCAGCGGCAACGAAGGAGCTCCGGAACGACGGGGGGATCGTTGGAGGGAGTCTTTAACTCATGAGCCCTGTCTACAACGCTCTCTTGCCATGCCCGCGGCTCATGACTCCCGCATTCAGTTGGCACATAGGTCTGTTTGATAGAATGTAAAATCCCGCTTTTCCAATTCTTCAAAAGGAATCACGCCCACTTTTACATTACTTCTTATGCAGCTTCGACGAGCACACCCCATATTTCTCACCTCCACATAGGTCTGTTTGGTAGAAATACGTCCAATTGAGGATCTTAAGAGAATTTCGTTGCCTCGTAGTTGCCATGTAATGGAACAAAATATTAAAGATTGTTAAAGTTAGGTCTTAGCTGTACCGGGACCTGGAGCACCCCATATCTACACTTAAACGTAGGTACATTTCATCAGTATCATGGTTGAGAAAACTTAATCTTGAACATTAGCTCCTTGTTTGAGCACTTTCCCAATCGTGGAAATATCCTTTCAGCAACATTCAGCGGCACGCCATGCATCACAATTAGGACGCGAAAAGACAGAGAGCCTTCTTATTTTTATATCTGCAACATGCACATTCGTTAAGCTTCTGCAGTCGTGTCAACGGGTCGACATCATCCCCTTCCGAGCAGAGTATCCCAAGCGTCATTTGTGCTTAGGCTTCATGTTGCCAAACTTCTCAAACTTGTCCATGTTTTCATGGAAAAACTAACGAGCATAATCATCAGAAAATGTTACCTAATATTTCTTTCGTCATCAAGATTAATTTCTGATATCTTCATGAAAGGAGAGGCCAAAGTTTTAAAGGAAAAATGAAAACAATTTTGAGGTGTCTCGCAACATAACGTCTAAGTATAATAGCGCTTATGATACTTAGGTTGGAAGGTGACGTCATCAACTTTAAGTTTTATCTATTGCGAGAGGCACCAATGAGGGAAACTTTGACATAGGTAATTCTGTCAGCTCATGGTTTCAGGATTCAGTTTGACTTACTTTTCCGTGTCGATTTGGAATGATGCGGCCTCTTTCATCAAATCCACCGAGGAGCTCTCCAGACTTGATTCATCTAATCTTTTTGCTATTGATTTTATAGTCGGGTGTAAATACAAATCCGAAACGGGCCATTCCAAGTTGAAAGCCTCATTTAACAATCCAACAAACTGAGCGGCAAGTAGAGAGTGCCTGGATAGAACAATCAAAACTGTGAATTTTTAATATGTGATTTAGAAAAAGCAGTTTTATGTCACGTTGGAAAACGAATCTATATTACGTGACGCACCCTGGACTCCATTCACCCTGCAACGCGTTCTCAGACCCCCTTCCCCCTTGAGCGTCACGCACGTATTTTATGAAACCCATTCCGATACCTTTGGCATTTCTGATGTCTCAGGGGTATTTTTCCAGCCCCACAGGGCCCAGAAAAATTATGGCGACATTAGGTGGGACGGGATTGTCGCCAACAGCCAAAGGGGCTCTTCATTGTAAAATTTATTGAGATAAAATTAAAATAATTCGCAATTTTTCTTTGTATTGCAAATTGCCTATCTTTCTGATACGTACAACTCATTTTATTCATCATTTAAAATCGGCATTTGTTGCTCAACAAGTGAGTTCAATATTTTAGTTGCAATTTGAACATGAATATATGCAGCTACACACATCAGAAATAAATCCTTAAAAGTCTTAAATTTGCCTGGATAAATATCCTTTGGTTCAGTTTTTATTTTATGAGTATCTGAAAAACAACCAGACCCCATTCATTTTTTGCTGTGATTTAACCCTTTTTAAAAAAACTGAAATCTGATCTACAAACCCGCCGAGATCGAAGAAACTCTCTTCAGTGTCAACTGTGAACAATCTCAAAACTTTGCACCAGATCTTTGCCACCCGTTTTTCTGTGGCGTTCAAGCAATCGTCCTCAATTAGTTGCGCTCCCTCTTTCTCGCTCCATTTTGGCAGAGCTTTAATGTCGAGTTTTCCTGAGGCTTCATTCAGAGGTATGCTGAAAATAATCGTGACAAAAGTCACACAGATGCACAATTAAGATCAAGATCAAGTTTGTCATCGCCTTTCTTCACATTGAAGATGTTTGTTCTCAGATAAGTGTATGCAACTTTTGTTGATCAAGTTTTCAATAGCCAATCGTTGTATTGTGAAACGCCATCTCTCCGTTTTTGAACACCAACCGACTGGAGTCAGTGGCGTGGCGTGAATTGCGATGTATCGATTGTTATGTCATTTAAACCTATGGTAAAGAATCGATTATTAAGGTGTTCCCTGCGAACGCCCTTTTTATCGATCCTTTTCCATAGGTTTAAATGGCATAACAATCGATATATCGCAAAGAACGTCACGCCACTGACTAGAGTGTGTATGAAATCCTGTCCTCAGTGTTCGTATAAAAAATGTTTGTGTTCGTTGTGTTAAATGTGTCTGCGACAAGACACACCTTTGGATAAGAGGATTGCGCTTGAGATCGATCCTGCGCATGCGCAACATGAGCAATTCCAAAGTAAAAATTTTCAAAAGTGTCCCAAGTACCACAGGTCACACTCAATCTCGACAGCATGGTTAACTTATTGTAACTGCATCGGAATGTTGTGCATGTTGCCTATCCTCTAATTGAAGGGGCTCATCTTATTGAGCTTTATCACTATGAATAAATACCTAAGTTCCAATCCTGTCTCTCATTACACATACATGGAAATAATTAATTGATTGTTGTAAATCGGCATCAATTGATAGGATTATGTAAAAATATTGAAGTGTAGCGGTGAAAAAAATTGTAATTTCATTGCATTGGAGAGAAAATTTATATCAATATTGTAGTTCTATTGTGCTCCTTGAAGTGTAGCTTGTATCCTCACCTGGACAGGTAAACGAAGAGTGATGGTATCATGTAGAAAGGTAGCTTTGTCTTCAAGATGGTCCTGATTTTCCGTGTGATAGCCTTTGAAGAAGTCTCCAGATCTTTTGATTCGAGAGATTCCGGCTCTGCAGGTTTGAGGACGAGATATGCGATCAAGATTTTCTCAGAGCCTTCCGATCCCTCGGCCAACACACAGCATGAACTGACCATCGGCAACTCTTGTAACATTGCCTCCACCGCCTGTTCCAACAATCATGATCGTAAGATGCAATGGCGTGGCGTGCTTTTGCGATTTATCGATTAATCTGCCATTTAAAGCAATGGAAAAGGATCGATAAACAAATTGTTCGCAAAGAGCACCTTAATAATCGATTTTTCGACATAGCTACAAATGAGGAAATATCGATAATCAAACATCCACGTCTTGTTACTATTAAGATGTCTCATCAAAAATTTTCCTTTCTAATTAAAAAATGCGTCATTCCATTTTCTCGCCTTGCGATACAGATGTAAAACCAGTATTTTCACAAAATGTTTAATTTACTTGTAAAGTGGGAAATCCGAAAATTTTGAAAAAAGGTTAAAACTTACGCTAAGGTTCATCATTATTTTTCAATTATATTTTTTGAGAGGTAACATTTAATACAAAAAAAGTCATAAAAAACCTCTTTAAAAATCTATGGTACTATAACACTCCCATAAAATGTTCAAAAAAGGGAAGAAAAATCTGTAAAAGAATTAGTGATAGGTTTAAGGACTTTTTCACGTATTAATTAGCATCCCTTGCTGTAAATTTTAACAATTTTCTTGAAGTGCTTTCCGACAGCCACTATGTCACCAGGCAGTGGGAGGTGTGCGTGCGATGTACGTCTCAAACGAAACGTGACTTTATGCCTGTCAATGGCCGATAAATAGACCACATTTTGCAATTAAGAGCTATCGTAGCCTTGGTATGTTGATCGTATAAATCGTTCAATAAGATTCTACGTCTATAAAATATTAAAAGGAAGCAAATTAATTCCCAAGTGGCAAAGATTTCAATCAAGAGATCAACCATTATAGGGTAAAATTGTTGCTGATGGGATCGAAGTGTTGTGTATGTTGCGTTCATTGTGTTCGGAAGGGGCTCCTCTTTTCGTAATTTACCGCAATAAAATGTGAAAATCGTTCTCTACATTCCTGATTGCCTATTTTCCTGACATATGGAACTACTTAAAAATCGGACTTTATTGACCAATTATAGTACAAATATTGCATATCCATAGTGAAAATTGCAATATTTTTGCATTAAATTGTAACTTCGTTTTAATAAGTCCCTTGCAGTATTAATTTGGTGATACCATTTACAAGACAGTTTTTTTCATGTAGTTACGATATTATTTCGTGTAAAAATAGAAATTTGTTAACTTTGCAGGTTTTACTTTTGGCATAAAAAAAATTGGAAACCTTAGTAGCATTGCCTCGCAAGTAACTCCTCACCGCACGGGTACTGTCAAATCTATATGTCGTCGCGAAATCCCTGAGGTACGGTTTTCCTAGGGTCACCCAAAACCTTATCATTACTCCCCCTTTATCCGCAACCTTGAGACGGGGCTAAAAAATAATTTTGGACAACTAACCTTTATTTCGATACTGTAGCCGCGAATCTTGACCATGGAGTCGCATCTGCCAAAAATTTCAAGGGAGCCGTCGGCCGTGGCGTAACCCCAGTCACCAGTTCGGTAAAGTCGCGGTCCAACTTTTGTTGCGATTGAGGGTGGAGTCTGAATAAATCGCACCGCGTTCAACTCCGGTTTGTTCAGGTAGCCTATGGCCAATGTCGGACCTCCCACAAAAATCTGTTGAATGTCAAAAAATTAAAGTATCCACATTAACTAACATTCAGAAATAGTAAATGATCCAATTAACGGGATACTAAAAATCTTTAAATATTTTAGAGAGCCTTATACTGCCGTGCTGAGGAAAAACGCCGTATGAACGTTCGAGAGTCGCAAAATTTCTCTCGATAAAACACGTATTTTTGACCATATTCTTGCATATTGTTCCTTAAAATTTCCAGATATTTTAGATTAAATTGCGTACAAAATTTTCTGAAAATTTTGGGGGATAATATTTACAAGTTTCCCGGTAAATTCTGTCTTATCGAAGGAAATTTGGCAACGTCTGAAGGCTCTAAGGCGTTCCTCTTTAGCACGGCAGAATAGTCCGGTAAATCTAGCTTTTTACCTCGGAAAAATCAGCACAAACTTTTCCCAGGTATATAGAGTCTCTAGGTACCCAATAAGACAGAAAAAAAAGTTTACCAAAAAATTTCATCTGGAAAGAGGTCAAATCGCAGTTTTTTTAAATGGCGGCCTACGGCGATTCTCAAAAAGGACCTACATACAGTTTTTCCTTTATAACTCAAAAATTGTGCGTCTAAAAAAAAAAAAAAAATTATCAGAGATCAATTTTAAAGATCATGAAATCTTGGTTAAGATTCATATTCAAACTTCAGGCTTTTATTTTTTTTCCCCCTCAGAATTTTACACTTTAAAAACAACAATGCCCGTATGGGGGTATGGGGGACTGTTGTCACAGGTTTAGCAATCCTGCGGACCCCAGCTGGTAGCCCCTGCCTTAAAGGGGGCGGTGGAGATGGTCACCGGCCTCTGGGCGTATGAACCACCTGCTAGAAGGGCAGACAGGGCTCTGAGCTGAAGTGAAAGCAACCTGTATAGGAGAGGCAACTCCGAAATCAAACCCTGGTCCTCCAGGTTGGGGGTTGAGTCATCGGGCTAANTAAAAACAACAACCGACAAAATCGGCTGGAAATCAGCGATTTTTCGCGTTGTTTGCTATGCACACTATAGTCACGAAGAACATAATATACAATCGGATTTCACATTACCTCCCCTGGTTCATCACAGTTTTTGACGTTTCCATTCTCGTCCATCACAACAACATGAACTCCTGGTAGTAATTTTCCGACACTGCAAACTTTGTCCTCTTTTTCGCTCGCTCTAGAGATATCTGCATGAGAAGTACATAAAAAGTAAATTGTCTTTACTAAAAGAACATGTCGATGGTGAAACTCCCAAACCACGTATCTCGTTTGTGATGTTTCAAAATCTCCGTTCCTGTTTTATTTTTTAAAGTAGAACAAATCAACATCATTCCTTGAAAAATTATTAGAATTCTCTACGCACGGAAAACAAAAATCACGGACTTTTTTGAGAATTGGAGTTAATTAGCTCATTATTCAAAAAATAAAGTATGACAGGAGGTCTGCAACGTTGCAAATCGAGATACGTGTTTTGGGAATGTCACCATCGATATATCTTACTTTAAGTGATGCTCATCCCTCGCCCAAAACTCTGACCTTTCATCAGAGAGATAGATTGTATTGAGAGGAGGGAAGTGACGCTAGTCAGTTGGATATGCATCAAGAGTAGTATGCTCTAACTTTAGCAAACTCTGTCCGCCCAACAATCATAGTTCGGTTTAAAATTTCGTTAAGTACATGTGTGACATATCGTTTATCTTTGATATTGTAATAGGATCAATTTTTCGGTGCGAACAGCTTAAAATCGCTCCTAAAACGACTCAAGCTTTCAACATTTTCCCCAGAAGACTCTCCTGACCCTCATTTGAAGCTACAAAAATCTGATCTGAGAGAGTCCCAAAGATTTCTCTTAATGGAGTGTCTCCTAGCGCCCCCCCCCCCCAGATACTCTATGCTAAGGTGCCCTTCTGTCTTGCTCATAAAAAGTTCCTAGTTCTACCCATGCAGACAACGGTACCTAATCCAGGATTGCGCGAAAGGTCCAAGAAAATATATGAGGACTGCGCAAAAAAGGCCGAAGGATTACGCGAATAGAAACCTTAACATCTGCTATAGGAATGCGCGAATTTAAAATGAAGTTAATTTAAGGAAAAAACTTGGCAAAACAGGAAACAGTTGGAAAATAAACGCATTTTTATGTTAACGCTAGTTTAGGTTAGTTTGTTGACAAGTCATCGATGTCTTACCTCCTGCGATGATAAATGAAGTGAAAAGATTGAAAAATGGTCGTGGGTATGAAGAACTTTCCTAACTATTCTCGGAAAAAATATATTTAATCGGGAGAAAGAAGGCAACGTTGGAATGCTCATTAGGCGTCGAAACACAACATAGACCTTATAAGCTCTATTATTCGATTATTCTATTTATTCGCGATTATTCTAACGCGAGTGCGAAGAATCGTGCCAAACACAGTGCGGCCGGCGTTAAACGTGTATTAGCGCCTGCAAGACTTCAGGAATACTTCACGTATTGCTCACAACAGTGCGGTCTGTGTAAAGCTCATAATATCGCCTTCAAGACTGCATGAATACTTCTCGCATTGCGCCAACCGCAGTGCAGTCAAAGAGTGCAGTCGGTCAGTTGGCTTGAAACGCATATTAGCGCCTACAGGATCGTACGAACGCTGTAGGACTGCGTTTCATCATCTCAACTGACTGCTCTAGTTTTTACCATAATTAATGGGAAAATATGTATTCTCATTGTAACGATTCAGAAACTCGGATGATATCTAATTTTTTCTTTTTGTTGGAATTAAAAGATTATATAACGAACGAAAATATCGCGTCGCAATTTTCGATACTTTTATTTGAGATCATCTAGGTAAATTCGCAGAAACTTTTCAGAAAAACTGTGTTTAGTTTTTAAAAACATGTATGAAAAATAAAACATAAAAGTGGTGCATAACGTTGCAATAAGAGATAAACATACGGTTTCTTTCGGGTGCACCCGTCGGCTTTGAATCCATTCATCTCTTAAATAACTTGAACATGGTTGTTCTACGATTTTTTATGTGTAGTTTTTTTCATTGGTTGGCGGTTACGTAGCGGCCACAGACCCCTAGTTCACTTTTTAAATGTCTATGAAAGCTCTCCGGGCCATTCCTACTACGAGGGCTACCCATCGAAGAGAGACATGCCCGTAAGTGAGGAGAAAATGAACAGTCTTCCGTGATGTAGTTATCTACCACAAACTACCAAGGTAGCCAATTAACGCTTCCTTTTTAAATGTTGAATATTCACGCAAACATGTGAATTTTCAGTACCAGAAAAATTCAAGGAATACTATGCATCTCCAAAAAGGTAAAAAAGGTGGCATTCGCGCAATCCTATCGCAGCCGCAGAGGAGACATAACAAACATAAAATTTTCACCTGCGCAAGAGACATCATGACACTCTGAAACGCTGTAAAGATTCAGTAACTGGATCCACGGAAATAATACTGCTACTTTATCTCTGAGTAATGTTGTTACGACCTCTCCGCAAAACACGATCTTCCTGCAACCGATTGTATAACAAAAAGAGTAAGTATCCATAAATACCAAAACTTGACCATATTCGATCGAATTTTTATAAAAGTTAAGCATCGTACTCTAAATTTCATGATTTCTCTCCTATGAACAACTTCATTGTTTTGACGGAGAAAAACGTAGGAAGTCATTTGAAGATCGCATATTAAGTCTTTATTACATTCGCTATGCCAAAAAATGCATGATGCAGCTGGTAAACTTGGTTATTTTTCCTACTGTTATATCTTACAATGCAGTTTACATGTGTCCCTTCTTCTATGAAAGCATTATTTTGCCACGAAAAAATTGTAATTGAAATTCTGCCCAATATTTCTAGTACTGAATAGTGAAAATGGAGCCTCTTTTCTCAACTCATTTCAACATAGGACACTGAATACTAAAAGTGACAATTGCAAAAAAATTAAGTATGAGTGTTCACTGTTCAAGCTCATAGTTTTATTTACTTCGTAAATGGATTTAAAAGAATAAAAAAAACAAACCGCATAGTCTGGAATGCTGAGCGAAGGTTGGACTGATCGATGTTAGAATCGACGATGGCTTGCATTAAGGAAGGAGTAACGAGTATCCGCGTGATCTTGTGATCAGAAATGAATTTAATGAGTTTTGGTGGGTCGTATATCACATCGTCCGGAATGATGTAAAGAGGTATTCCTGAATGGAGAAAAAAAAGAACAAGATGGTGTAGCTGAAATATTTCAGAATAATATTTACATGCAATTAATGTAAAATCGGTTAAAAGTTCTCGCCTAAAATCCTACGTTGGCAAAAATCAAGTAATTCTTAACTTTTTCTTCGTGTAGGTATTTGTGTTTTCAAATAACTCTCACGAACATGTTCAAGTTTTGTATATTCGAGCCTGAGGAATCCCTCCCTGAAAAGTAGGTTCTGTCAAAAAGGCTGTTTACTGAAAATTTTTCTTCTTAGTGACCTGTTCCCGATCGAAAAAAAACCATTATTTGTTTTCTGAGTGAGCGTCTTTTTTTCACGATTTCTTCTTCTTACCGACGGAAGGAGGGGGGGTGGTGCAATTTTTACATCCTTTCTCTTTTTCGAGTAGAATGACGCCTTTGAAAAAAGTGACGCGAAATTAGGGTTTTCATACTTGAACTAGATGCGGCGATACATTTTTGGAGGCATATTTAATTACGACTTTTAATTGCAATATAAAATTATCGGCCATGCAAAAACAAGGTCAATATTGACTGCTGGAAAGGTCGCGATTTTTAGTTACGTGTCAGTCTGTCAGTTTCAAACTAAGTCTGAGTTCCAAAACCTAAAAAGTTCTTATGAAATATGCTTACCCTTGCAAAGTGGACGAAACATTTCCCAGACGAAAAAAATGTTACACGCCTCTCTTTCGTTGTCTTCGTAAGGGTGTGCGAGATGACGCCAGTAGTACGAAAACACAGCTCCTCGATGGGGGCATTGAATTCCTGCAATGTGCACAAAACAGTTGCAAAATGGACTCGAAAAAGTTAATCTTTGGCACAAATACCGGCTGTGCAATATGTGTCTCTATTAATTTTTGCATGTAACCAGTCGAAAATTCAGTGAAATTTTCAGTGATAGATTCCAAAAAGTGTTATCCATAGAGTACAATTTACGACAAGGAATTTTGCGACGTTGAAATGAAACTAAGGTCCCCCATTTGAATAACGAAGAGTACTCAATTAAAAACAATTTACGGGTGGAAATTTGTGACGTTCAAATGAGAGGCTTGGATGACAAGGCGTTTAAGTGCAGTTTTTGAAAAAATTGAGATATTAATGAATTCAAGTAAAACTAGTCTTGATACCTACATATTCTGTAAAAATTCGATCTCTTTCAATTTTAAAGCATCAAAAAGTCAGTTTGAACTTCCTATCCGCCATGAGGAGCCATGTAATTTCGAAACTTCAATCACGTAATTCTCGAAATAGCGAAAACTGCACTTATGCGCCTTGTTCTCCAAGTCCCTCAAATGAAGTCAAAGTGCGTTCTTCCGTTTAGGAAACTACGATATATGACCAGCTGATTATGCTACAAAGATGTACCTTTGGGTTGTCCTGTCGTGCCCGATGAATACACAGTATATGCCATGTCATCCAGGGAAACTTTCACCCAGTTCGGCACAGTATCAATTCCTGGTGTGTTTGAGAGGATATCGGACGCCCATTCAGTCCATGCACCTTCTATCATCAAGAGTTCCGTGTTCCTGCCGCTTAGTTTGGATTTATAGACTGATTTTGTGCACACGACAACCGGTTGCGCGTCCTCCATGACTTTTTCGAGTAAAGAGGGTGGGTAGGACAGCTCGAGGGGTAAGTATGCTCCACCTGGAATATCGGAATTCAATATCAAGTGGACCGAATTGAACAAGGAGGAGCCAAGCTATGGCTCTTTTTCAAAAAATAAATAAATGGGCTGGGAATAATGTTGAGTGCGACGTGCAGTTTTAAGACGGCTGCGCCACCGAAAATCTTCTCAAGAAATAAAGATGAACTTTTGCTATTTCAGTGAGTCAAATCGTGGGAGATATCTACGGTTGTCACTTTCTTCCACTCAATGGGGCTGACGTCCCAATCAAATGCATTTTTGAAGAAATAATCCATCCCCATCATTGCCTCATCTCCATATTAATGTGCAAATGATGGCACGCTCCGGTAACAAGGTTCTGTGACAAAGTCATGTTTGTCTTGAGAATCGCCAGAATGTATACATCATACGGATCAAATATCCAACTACTTAGGAAAGAGGCTCGCGGATCGAACCGAAGTCACTCGTGTAGCGACTGGAGGTCCAGAGGGCGCAGCCTCTTGGCTAGTCGTGACGGGTGCGCAAAGCGCACCTAGAACGGCTAGTGTTATCATTAAGTTAATGTGGCAAAAGGGGAATTTACGATTAAACTTTCAAATGAGATCTCTCACAATTTTCTTATTTTCTATCAAGATAGGTGCAACCATAAAAAGTAAACCATGAATTGCGTAAGGGACTATAGACACCACTATTGTATATTGACACAATATCATCCAAATGTGGAAGGCACAGATTCTATTGGTACGTTACGCATAATCATTGGCATTACATCATGTACCTGCTTTAAGGATGGCGATGTAGCTAATGGTGTATTCCAAGCATCTCTCCATTAGAATACCGACCACCGTGTTTCTTTTCACTCCTAAGACTTGAAGCTTTTTCGATAAAATGTCGCTCATTTCGTCCAGCTGCTGGTAATTAATCTGTAACACGATTAATATTACATAGACTCATAATCATCCATAAGGTTACGAATGATAAATAAAACAAATTCATTGATTATCTTTTCATCATTTTTTTAGAACACTATAAAAAACCTCAAGGTAATTAGTTAATTACATTTGTGAGGCAAAATGAATGCTGTTTCTAATTGAGTAAGAAAATTCTCTAGCAGGGCCGGATTTACCTACTTGCCGCCCATGGGCCGCCTGTATTTTGCCGCCCCCTCCTCATTCGTTTTGAAATAAATCAATCAAAACCATTAAGTGAACATGCCGGAGGAGGAAGGGAGGGGTGCATAAGACGCGTTAAATGCGTGATGGACACATTTTTTGCAAAAGCCCTGTCAACACTACTAGCAAAAGTTCACAGAACTTTGCGCGAAAGTTAAGTCTCGTAAACCTATCGCTTTGTGGACAACGCCTTCCATTTTTAAGAAATGAACGAAAAAATTGTGAAAGAACAAACATGAATGTGGTTTAATAATCTTAACCTCCGCCGCCGCGCTGCGCTGACCTCACTATGTTTTGCGCAATGCGTGAAGTATTCCTACGGCCTTGGAGGCGCTATGCGTCTCACGCCGACCGCTGCGGACCGCACTGTTTGACGCAATGCGTGAAGTATTCATGCAGTTTTGTAGGCTAATATGTGTTACGTGCCAACGCGACCGTCGCGCCGCGCCGCGTCGAGGGCTTCTCCTTTTCATGTGAAGTCTTCGTTATCATTGCTCTCTGCAGCGCGCCGTTCCAGGCAATATTGCGTATTTGGTTTCTCTCTTAACTCGACTAATTAAAGGTGCTATTTCTTGTATCACCGAAAGACAACAAAATGAGAAATTACCACACCTTTACTCTCAGGAAATGAGAGACTTTATGGCCTTTTCTAGTTCGTAATTTTTTTTCTGAATCCGATTTTTTTTTGATACCTACATCTGAAAAAATTTCAAAATTTGCCACCCCCTAAATTTGCCGCCGTGGGCCGCGGCCCATGTGGCCACCCCCTAAATCCGGCCCTGCTCTCTGGAGAAAAATAGTGGATCTTACAAGCCTCGCCGGCCGTTGCCAGAAGCTCGCTTTAACAGGAAACACCTCCTCGGAAGTTATATTGCATATCCGCCGAAACTAAGGAGTTCCGATTGAACCCGAAGATTTGTAGTGTAGCGGCTATTGTATGCACTAAACATATTTCAGCATACTAAATTTGGAATTTTATACTCTCCCAATCCCTCCTCTCCTTCGTTACACAGACATTATACAAATCTATACACCTTCAGGTATAAAAACTCCCCTGACGCCACCCGTATTTTCCCTTTAAGTTTACATTTCGATGTTTTTAAGGACATGGATGAATTCAGCACTTATATTTATGACGATAGCCATTTTTCAGGAGTCCAGTCCTACGTGCATATGTATCGCCATAACTCACAAAAATGTATTCATTCATCGGAAATTTAGGAAACATTAATTCCGAGTTTCGAGGGCTTAATTTGAGAAAAAAAAAGTTGAAGAAAAAAATTGTATTTTGACCCAACTACTGCAGCCATCTGGCCGTTTGATGTCAAATATTTTCAGAAGAATCTTTTATTTCGTGTTCGACGTCATGACCAAACAACTTGTTTGGTATGGTCATGTCAATAGGATGACGGAAGAGAGGCTGCCAAAAAATATGCTTGATTGGGTTCCTCCTGGGAGGAGACGTAGGGGACGCCCAGTGAGAGGTTGGCGACAGGGGGTGTTAAATGAGATAAGAGATTGTCAACTCCCTGATGACCTGTGGGAAGACCGAGCTTTGTGGCGATTAGGCGTCGCACAGCGCCAAAGAGCGCTATAAAAGCGACTCATATATATATATATCTTTTATGAGAGACTTCAACTATGCATATAGAGTAANCCTCCTGGGAGGAGACGTAGGGGACGCCCAGTGAGAGGTTGGCGACAGGGGGTGTTAAATGAGATAAGAGATTGTCAACTCCCTGATGACCTGTGGGAAGACCGAGCTTTGTGGCGATTAGGCGTCGCACAGCGCCAAAGAGCGCTATAAAAGCGACTCATATATATATATATATATATCTTTTATGAGAGACTTCAACTATGCATATAGAGTAAATTGTTATAATTTTTTTTTACAAACGAGAATTTTTCCAAAATTCCTCAAATACCTATAAATTCAATCGATAATGTGTCGAAGCTCTGAACCGTTACGGCGCATCAGGGTTACGACGCGTGCCACATCGAGCGGTCTAAATATTCGCTCTGCTTTTTTGTTTAGCCTCTAATTCTTATCGTGTTCAAGAGAACGCGTGTCGCCATATCACACTTAATGATGCCAATATTCCACAAATTCCTCATTTTTAATCAATTTTAATTAAGTAAGCGCAGAGGATAATCATTTCACAATCACCCACACCCAACAATGTTCGAGCAATTCAAGCCAAAAGTCAATGTTCTCACTCGGTCATTATAACTCTCGGTCAGTTAATATTTGAATTTTTCGTTATCTAGGTACTACAAATCTTCACAGATTGACTAATCACACATTTCGACAGTGCGAAATTCTCTTGCCTTTGCTAGAGAGTAAAGTTGCTCTTTGCTGGGTTATTTCACGATAATGAAAATGGTACCTGAAATTTTCTAATAAGGGGACAAAATTCATAGAGAAAAAAACTACAATTATCACTGGAAATTGTTTACATTTGCAACAATTTAGAATTAGGTATGTAGAATAATATAAAGATTGCAACTTTGAGACCTTAAAATTTTGAAGGTACGAGTATTTGTGAATGTGTTACGCGTAACCGAATTAACATTTTTTATCCAGAATTCTGAGTAATGATACTTTTCCACATTTACTTGCATGCAAGATCACGAAAATAAATGTTTTTTAACGATAATTGTAGTTTTTTTTTTTCTAACGGGCAATTAGGTTCCTCTGGCTCTCACCCCCTTTCCCCAACTAATCCTCGGCGGAAAATTTTCATGAGTGATTTGAAATACCTGTTGACCATCGTACGTGACCACGGCTGGATTTGTCGGTGTCAGTTTCGCTTGCCTGATGAACATTTCGTGGAGGCTACCTTGTTCCTCATATTTTTTCATGTCCTCTCTTATATTCGATGGCATTTTGAAGACAGCCTAAACCCTCTGCAAATTCAACAAACTTTCACGCACGTGTTTGACGGTCAAGATCAAGATATTGTAAAAACTCAGTATATCTTAGCTTTGCCAAAATTACTTCGATCTATATCAGCTGAACGGCATGATGGGCTTATTGATGATATGAACTAAAAACAAACACAAATCTGCTTTCCAGCAGATATGAGAAATTTATTTTATTTAAGTTCTTCGATTATAAACCCGGCACCAATTGGGATCTCGTTATGAAAGTACCTACTTAGAGATTTTTATAGCTATTTCATGCAGACGAATTTAACCAATTAGATTTGTGCTTAATTCATTGAAAAACACTTTTAAACATGATTATTTTCCTAGAATATGCATTAAAAGCCATAAACGGTTCAAAGTTAAGGTGGGCGTTTTGATAAATATTCCAAATTTGAAAATATAATTAATTAAATTGATATGATTTTCTAACGTGCACTCTTTCCCGATTTAGGTTGCGCTTCGCGTGGGATGCGATTACTAAACACGATCAGCGCTGAGCCATATCTTATAAATTTTCGTTTCGCGCGTGGCTGTCCAGTTCTAGGGAATTCAATTAAAATTTCGTTCATCGTGAATGTGAATCTCGCGGTTTCATGCTGCATCCGGCATTATCGTCTCTGTTCATTGGTCAGCGCCAGGTGGTTCGACAATCGTTATTTCAGCTCATAGTCCACCAATTACTCTCGGAAAAAAAGCGATAAGAAGATCGGACTCGATACAAAAGCTCAAAGCTGTCATCATTGCGATTTAAATTCTAGCGCGCCCGTTGAGCGTCCTCCAAAGAGAGAATTTTATCCCCGCGAAAATAACAGACGCGCTTGTATTTTTGGAAAAGATGTAGGTAACTGCGGTCGGGAGAGAAACAAAAATTCATGCCCCCTTGGGATTTTCCCGGGGGCGCATGGGCGCAGGCCCCCATAATTCACTGAGAGAGAATTAATAACGCGATATGTGAACATTGAAGCAGACGTGACTGGTCGGAAAGAGACAGAAAAATCCATGCCCTCTTGCGATTTACCATGAAGGAGAACCCAGCCCCCGGATTTTTAGATTCTGTTGTTGGCCTTGAAAGTTCCTTTCCTTCCGCTCCCGCAGAGAATGAAAAGGCGCTACATTAATTTAGGAGAATTCGGTCAAAAAGATTAAAAAAATCCACACCCTTTGACTAGAGTACCTTTATAGACAGAGTATGGCCATTCGTATCTTTTTACTACAGGAAAACTGTTCCGCTTTTTGATTGGTCAACGAGTTTTTAGGCTTCATGATGCTCTTAGGGCCGTAAATAAACAAACAAGATGGCGGCTCACCGTAACATCGATGAGAAGCTAAATTTGACAAAAATTTCAATTAAGCGGCAGTAACAATTTAAACGAGCATATCTACGAATAGCACACGAAAAACACATGAAAACATTGTTAAATTGCCTTTCACCTTTATCACAGGAGGATGTAAGATGTGCATAACCTCAATCTTGCTTGCTGATAACGGCCATCTTGTTTGTTTATTTACGGCCCTAAGAGCATCGTGTCAGCCTATTTGCTCGCGACCAATGAAAAACCGGAACAGAAATGGCCATACTCTGTCTATAAAGGTACTCTACCTTTGACAGGGCCGGATTAGATTTATCTACTTGCCGCCCACGGGCCGCCTGTATTTTGCCGCCCCCTTCTCATTCGTTTCGAAACATTAATAAAAACCATCAAGTGAACGTGCCGGAGGGGAAGGGGACGGGTGCATAAGACGCGTTTACTCGTGTTGGGCACATTTTTTGCAAAAGCCCTGTCAACATTATACTAGCAAAAGTTCACGGAACTTTGCGCGAAAGTTAAGTTCCGTAAACCTATCTCTGTGTGAACAAGACCCTCCATTTGTAAGAAATGAACGTAAAAATTATGCAAGAACAAACATAAATACAGTTAAATGATTTTAACTTCCGCGCTGACCGCACTGTGTTTGGCGCAATGCGTGACGTATTCCTCCAGTCTTGTAGGCACTATGCGTTTCACGCCGACCGCCGCTGAACTGAACGCACTGTGTTTGACGCAATGCGTGAAGTATTCACGCTGTCTTGTAGGTGCTAATATGTGTTACATGCGGACCGCCGCACAGTGAGTTGCGTCAATTAGAGAGGTCGGACATGCAATTTTTGACAAAAACTGCAAATGTTGATGTTTATTTCGTCACATTTTAAAGTTCAAGGGGTGTTACTGGAAGAAACACGAGAAAACCAATGGGACCACTTGCAGAACATCAAATTCTTGTATAAACGGAGTTATAAAGCGTTTAAAGCTTCCAAATTTTGTCTAACCTCTCTCATCGAGCCGACCGCTGCTGCACGCACTGTGTTTGACGCAATGCGTGAAGTATTCATGCAGTCTTGAAGGCGCTAATATGTGTTACATGCCGACCGCCGGGTGCCCCGAAAAAACACCGGAGTGCATTCCGACCATGAGCCCTGGATTCAAACGCCCTTAAACGGGGACTGAGGCTAAATTTGGATTGGTCCGTACGCTGTTTTGTCCTTTCTCTCTCTCGCACTCATTCCTCAGATGCGGCACGTCAAAGGAGCACATTGGCTTTGACAAGCCGCCGTTTTATCGTCTATCTCTCTCCCACTCATTGATCAGATGCGGCAACCCGCGGCTCGTCAAAGGGACACACACACACTCGCAAAAATACACTCTGGGCCTCGTAATTTGGTCCGCGGTGGTAGTGGCGAGCCCGAATCCGGGTACCCCGAAAAAACACCGGAGTGCTTTCCGACCATGAGCCCTGGAAAGAACGACCGTATAAGGGGACTAAGGCTCATCTTGGATTGGTCCATACGCTGTTTTGTCCTTTCTCTCTCTCGCACTCATTGCTCAGATGCGGCACGTCAAAGGAGCACATTGGCTTTGACAAGCCGCCGTTTTATCGTCAATCTCACTCCCACTCATTGATCAGATGCGGCAACCCGCGGCTCGTCAAAGGGACACACACACACTCGCAAATATACAGGCTGGGCCTCGTAATTTGGTCCGCGGTGGTAGTGGCGAGCCCGCATCCGCGTGCCCCGAAAAAACACCGGAGTGCTTTCCGACCATGAGCCCTGGAAAGAATGATCGTTAACGGGGACTAAGGCTCATCTTGGATTGGTCCATACGCTGTTTTGTCCTTTCTCTCTCTCGCACTCATTGCTCAATTGCGGCACGTCAAAGGAGCACACTCGGCTTTGACAAGCCGCCGTTTTATCGTCTATCTCTCTCCCACTCATTGATCAGATGCGGCATCCCGCGGCTCGTCAAGGAGACACACATACACTCGCAAAAATACAGGCTGGGCCTCGTAATTTGGTCCGCGGTGGTAGTGGCAAGCCCGAATCCGGGTGCCCCGAAAAAACACCGGAGTGCCTTCCGACCATGAGCCCTGGAAAGAACGGCTGTAAAGGGGGACTAAGGCTCATCTTGGATTGCGTGAAGTATTCATGCAGTCTTGAAGGCGCTAATATGTGTTACATGCCGACCGCCGGGTGCCCCGAAAAAACACCGGAGTGCTTTCCGACCATGAGCCCTGGAAAGAACGGCCGTAAACGGGGACTAAGGCTCATCTTGGATTGGTCATACGCTGTTTCGTCCTTTCTCTCACTCGCACTCATTGCTCAGATCTTTGACAAGCCGCCGTTTCATCGTCTATCTCACTCCCACTCATTGATCAGATGCGGCATCCCGCGGCTCGTCAAAGAGACACACACACACTCGCAAAAATACACGCTGGGCCTCGTAATTTAGTCCGCGGTGGTAGTGGCGAGCCCGCATCCGCGTGCCCCGAAAAAACACCGGAGTGCTTTCCGACCATGAGCCATGGAAAGAATGATCGTAAACGGGGACTAAGGCTCATCTTGGATTGGTCCATACGCTGTTTCGTCCTTTCTCTCTCTCGCACTCATTGCTCAGATGCGGCGAGTCAAAGGAGCACACTCGGCTTTCACAAGCCGCCGTTTTATCGGCTATCTCTCTCCCACTCATTGATCAGATGCGGCAACCCGCGGCTCGTCAAAGGGACACACACACACTCGCAAAAATACAGCCTGGGCCTCGTAATTTGATCTGCGGAGGAAGTGGCGAGCCCGAATCCTGGTGCCCCGAAAAAACACCGGAGTGCCTTCCGACCATGAGCCCTGGAAAGAACGGCTGTAAAGGGGGACTAAGGCTCATCTTGGATTGGTCCATACGCTGTTTCGTCCTTTCTCTCTCTCGCACTCATTGTTCAGATGCGGCGAGTCAAAGGAGCACACTCGGCTTTGACAAGCCGCCGTTTTATCGTCTATCTCACTCCCACTCATTGATCAGATGCGGCATCCCGCAGCTCGTCAAAGAGACACACATACACTCACAAAAATACAGGCTGGGCCTCGTAATTTGGTCCGCGGTGGTAGTGGCGAGCCCGCATCCGCGTGCCCCGAAAAAACACCGGACTGCTTTCCGACCATGAGCCCTGGAAAGAATGATCGTAAACGGGGACTAAGGCTCATCTTGGATTGGTCCATACGCTGTTTCATCCTTTCTCTCTCTCGCACTTATTACTCAGATGCGGCACGTCAAAGGAGCACACTCGGCTTTGACAAGCCGCCGTTATATCGTCTATCTCTCTCCCACTCATTGATCAGCTGCGGCATCCCGCGGCTCGTCAAAGAGACACACAAACTCTCGCAAAAATACACGCTGGGCCTCGTAATTTAGTCCGCGGTGGTAGTGGCGAGCCCGCATCCGCGTGCCCCGAAAAAACACCGGAGTGCTTTCCGACCATGAGCCCTGGAAAGAACGGCCGTAAACGGGGATTAAGGCTCATCTCGGATTGGTCCATACGCTGTTTCGTCCTTTCTCTCTCTCGTACTCATTACTCAGATGCGGCACGTCAAAGGAGCACACTCGGCTTTGACAAGCCGCCGTTTTATCGTCTATCTCTCTCCCACT